CTGAGAACCACGCTGCAAGTGGTCTGTCGGTGCTGAGGCTGTGTGGAAGTGCCTTTGGTTTGGAGGGGGAGGGGTTGTTTTTCTTTTCCAGACAAACTATAGTGCTGAGAGCCATGGCAGCCTAGCCGGGCGGCCGGGGGGACCAACAAGCAGTCTCCTTGCAACAAGTCTCCATTCTAACAAAAGGCTCAGACATCTAATTCAGAAGGGAAGGCAGGATGACTTTAAAAGCCAGGCAGAGTAGATGACTGCAAGGAAACAGTGTCTTCCGGACACATCAGGGCTGATACACTTAGGGACTTGGAGACTGGGTGCAAGCGCCAGCCCAGCCCCAGTTCAAACTAGACAAAATTCCAGCACAGCAAAAGGGAAAAGGACATAAAGTCCCACAAGAAGTTATTTGTAATTGCTACCTTTTAGGAGAGAGAAAAGCTGCTTTTATGGAGTGTCTCTAGGTACTATCAATCACACTCCAGGTCCATGCTCAGAAATGTTGGTCACCACAAAACAAACTCCATAGTTTTCATTTGGCACTTTTTTTTTTGGCCTGTTTTTGTTGTTGTTGTTTTTTTTTTTCGAGAAAACAAAGTTGGGTGGGTAGGATCTAGTAGTTGGAGAGAAAAGAATAGGATCAAAACATATAAAAAAAAAACACTAAAGAAAAGAAAAGCAATTACCAAGGTAGGAAGCAAGTGTATTAACCTGGACTAGAGAACCATTTATGACAAGAGGAAAAAGCCTTAGAAACAGAGGCCTGGCTTGCTGGGTCTGTGGGCCCTGGAGCCTCTCTAGCCCCATTTACGTGCTATGAGATGTCGTTCATATAACTTTTGTTTACAAAGTATTTGGGTTGGTGGGTTGTCTTTATTTCCTGTCAAAAAATACAAAGTTTAAAAAAAAATTCTATTAGGCTGTTTCAAGACAATCCTGCCACTGACAAAGGAGCAAGACCCAACATAGGTCCATTCAGGATCCCCAGATTTTAAAATTGTTCTTCTGAAGCATTTTGCATTTAAAATTATTTTAATAACTTTTTTCTGATTACAAAATACATACTCCATATAAGACATTTAGAAAACAATACGGAAATCCTCAGTGTTCACCATCTGGAGAGAGCCACTGATAATATACCCCTTTCTTTGCACGTGTACCCTAAAATATAGTTCACATTTTAGTAAAATTTTATGCCTTGAAAATAAGATAATTGAGGTTCTCCTTTTATAACGTCTGCTGTGGATAGTCTGGCCACAGTTAAGTGTTTAAAGCATGTGCTTAGCAATTTAATGGCTACAAGGTATTCTTAGCCCTTATTTGGGGCATTCAAGCTGCTTCTAATTAAAGCTGTTAAATCTGCTACACTCACCTTCACACTTGAGTCTTTCGGAGAGTCCTAGCAAACACAATAGTAGGTCAGTGTGTGCTTCCGGCTGCCTTTGTCTGCTCAAGTTAACTGGCTGTCCTCCCAGCAAGGACAGGTCTGTTGGCTCATCCCCAAGACAGCCTAAGATCTCACAGTCATTTCCATTGTTATTCATCATTTATCTTTCTTTGGGCATTTTGACCAGTATAAAAACAAGGGACTCAGTTGATCCTCCCCTGTGGTCCCTGGTTAAGAACTTAAATATCCTTTTTTCCTGGGCAGACTGGCACCCTGAAGACAGCCTTGCTAGACTACATCAAACGCTGCCGCCCTGGAGACAGTGAAAAGCACAATATGATTGCCCTGTGCTTCAGCATGTGCCGGGAGATAGGGGAGAATCATGAGGCCGCGGCCTGTATCCAGCTGAAGCTGATTGAGTCTCAGCCCTGGGGTGAGTGAGCTGCAGCACTTCCACAGCCTGCTCACACTAACCCAGCCAGCTCTTTAGGAGGAAAGACACTTGGTAGCAGCCCTGGTGGCAGGAGATGGCAGTTTACAGAAGAGTTTGAAACTTAGGAGTGCACTCCATCCAAGTTCTAGTAAGGACATTTCCTGCCCAAGTGAAACGTACCTATGGATATACATACTTAGGATGTTTCCCTCATCTAACCTGCCACACTGAGTGGCCTGAGGGGTCACTCAGCTTTACAGCAAGTATCCTTTACTTTACAGAGGAAAGCCTCAAGGATGGAGCCCAACTCAAACAACTCCTGCTTAAAGCCCTGACTCTGATGTTAGATGCAGCGGAGAGTTACGCCAAGGTAACCAAGAGTTATTCTAGCCTGGCTAGAATAGTACTAGTAGGAAATACTTTGGCTTAGGCTCTTCCAAGTGAAGAGGGAGTGTGTAATGGGTCAAGCAGAGGTCAGTATTGAGTACAAAAGAGATGATAATAAAATTCTCTTCTTGTGCTTCCTCCACACATTCCTCAGGACTCCTGTGTGCGACAAGCCCTACACTGTAATCGGCTCACTAAGCTGATAACACTGCAGATTCACTTTCTTAACACTGGTCAGAACACAATGCTTATCAACTTGGGCCATCAGAAGCTAATGGACTGTATCATGGCTCTACCTAGGTTCTACCAGGTGAGAACACTCTGACAGGTACTGCCAGTGCAATCCTGTGGCGTCTTCCCCTTGGTGTCCAGAGGCCGACTGAGGTCTCAGCGTTAGGGACAGACCCAGGGCAAACTACTTACTCTGATTTATCTGTATAATAGTACCACGAAGAGGCAATTTGAGTTAGACGTGCATGTGTTTTGTAGTGATTCAGATCAGACAAGGTCTTCACAAATGAGGGCAAGTGCTCTACCATTTAAGGCACACTCCCAGCACTGTTTAGTTGGCATATTATCTTTGTGCATCGTTTGGGCAAAGGTTAGAGAATTTTGATGTTTGGCAGTTATGGTTTGAAGAGAATTCCTTGGCTTGTCCTTTTAAGTCTTGCAGACTGTGTCCATGGAATGGAGCCTGCCAGTTAGCAATGAGAATCAAGAATGCCCGGAGATTGGGTCTCGCCCTTTACAACAAAAGGCACTAATGGTCCAGCATCAGCACTTTCCTGCTTCCCACACAGCTGAGTTATGGAAATAAAATTTCACATCAGCAGTTTTACTGTCCATTGTGAGGAAGACTAAAAACAAGTTACTGGAGAGGGCTTTATGAGAGGAGAGCAACACTAGGCAACCTGATACCTTTAACACTGACCATAACTCGCTGCGTACAGTAGGTTTCCTACTTCAGTTTTCTACAGCATGTGCTCTAACGTCCCCTCCCTTCATTTCCATCCTTTTAAGGCTTCTATTGTAGCTGAGGCCTATGACTTTGTTCCTGACTGGGCTGAAGTTCTCTACCAACAAGTGATTCTTAAAGGAGACTTTAGTTACTTGGAAGAATTTAAACAGCAAAAGTTACTAAAACCCAGTATATTTGAAGACATTTCCAAAAAGTAAGTACTTAAAATTGACCCTAATCCCAGCACTGGCTTTAAATCCTAGTGGGGCAAGACAACCAGGGCTACATATGGAGATGCTCTCTTAAAAAAAAAAAGAAAAGAAAAAAGGGAAGGAAAAAGGGAAAGGGAAGGGGAACGGAAAGGAAAGGAACGGAAAGGAAAAAGGAGAACGGAATGGAACGGAAAGGAGAAAAAAGGAAAAAAAGGAAAAAGTTGATAGTGAACCAGAAACTCCAGCAAGTTGTCTTTTGCAGTAGTATTAAATTTAATTAAGGTAGGTGCTGACATATTTGGGTTTTCTTGTTTTATTTTTTGCTAAGAGAAGGCTTCTCTGTGTAGCCCTGGCTGTCCTGGAACTCACTCTGTAGACCAGGCTGGCTTCAAACTCACAGAGATCCACCTGCCTCTGCTTCCCAGATTAAAGGTGTGAGCCACCAATGCCCAGCAACATAATTGCTCTTAATTAAATTAACTAATCAAAATCTAATACTAGTTTGATAATTTCCTAAGCTACAACACTCCTGCATGGTGGCATAGCTGATCCCCCCTTGTTGATACAATATTTAACCTGTACTTTAAATATTTTTGTGTAGATATAAACAACACCAGCCTACTGACAGGGTCACAGAAAACCTGAAGAAGTTACTTTCTTATTGTGAAGACATCTACCTGCATTACAAGTTGGCATATGAACACAAATTTTTTGAAATAGTAAATGTGCTTCTGAAGGACCCTCAAACAGGATGCTGTCTTAAAGATATGCTCGCAGCCTAGATCTGCTTTTTGTACCTATATGGCAATAAAGTATTTGGAAATCTTTCTCCCCGCTTCAGGTGAGAAGCCCAGAAACACACCATATCACATCAGTCATTTGTGGCTACAGGGAATGAAGGGGAAACTGGTATAAGGTCAAAGACTTGTTAGAATGGCTTCCACATTAGGAGAACAGTCATGATTAAAGAGTACCTATGCCTGCAAGTTCCAGTTTCAAAGCAATTTAATCTTATTTACACAGTTAAGGAACAGGTGATACATTTTAATGAGTTAGAAACTGGTAGTTCTATAATAAAATAGGTTTTAATTCAGTGTCTGTCATTATTACTGCTAAGGAGATCTTAGCCCTTGTCTGCCTTCAACAGTATTTACTGTAATTATTGCTGTGTAGTCACGGCCTTCCATTAATTCAAGTCATTTAGATGGTCCTGCTTTCCACTTAGTAGTCTACAGAGCTTTGAGGTTCCTATTGCCTATGGAAGAGAATTTAAAAACATTTTTTGACCAAGTGATAATTATGAGGACAAAAAAAAAAAAACCCACAAATTTGGTTAAATGACTTAAATGATCACCCAACTTATGCTTACAGCAATAACATGAGTAGTAGGGCGCCAATACTCCAAATAAATAGTTCTAAGGTACTTAATTGAGCCTCTAGTATCTAAACAACAAAATAATTTCCCAAATAAACAAAGGAAAGCGGCATCTGTTGCTCTACTAAAGACCCCAAACATTCCTGCTTCAAAACTGTAACTACATCAGGCACTGGTTAAGCCTTGGTGAGTACAAAGAGAACTCCACCCAAGAGCTGCATCCTGTACTCTACTATCTCTTGGGAGGTAACACAAAATTTAAGTCCTCACAATAGTGATTTTATTAAATTAGTTGCTTTATAAAACATTGTGGATGTCATAATTGTTAACATAACAATTTACCAAACTGTAGTTTGCTGAGTATGTTTTATAAAGAAAAGAAAATGCCAAAACCCTGTTAAGTTTTTCTGTTGCAGCCTAGAAGAACAAGATTTGTTTCTCAGACACTTGAGTCAGGCAAATAGAAACGGTTCCCTCCCCCATCTGAAGTCTTCCATCAGTAGAAATGAGCCGATAAATAACTAGACAGTCAATGTACTGGAGCGTCCACCACTGGCACTGTGACAATGGAGAGGTTTACCTTCTTCAGCTTCAAAGTTGAAGGGTTTTGGTCATTAAAATCTTAAGTATCAAACTAGTATTTTTCAGCCACAATCTTATCTTCACTCTGAGATAAGCAGTCTTCTTCACAACATGTTTTTAATATCCTCACACTCAAATTTTAGACAAAGCAATTTTAATACTAGGTGCATCCCACATGCCCTTGCTTGCTGCAAACTGCTCTTCTTGACAAGTTATGAAGTAGTTCAAGGAGGTATGGTTAAGGCTGTATTACTGAATGGTGCTGGTAAATACTACACAATTTGTCATGTTGCGACCTTTGTTTCCAATTTAGTGACTGCTGCTATGGAATCAGATAGCAACAATGACAACATTATTAGGTTTGTTTTGTTTTTAAACTATGATTTAGTAGCAACTGAAGTTCCCAATTTTAACCCCTTGGCAACAAGATCCAAGTTCCCTCATTTGCTCATTAGCACCTGAGTGTCAAGGGGTTAAATAACCAGCACGAAAGATACTGCACTTCTGATTGTAGCATTTGGCAGAACTGAAAGGAAAGGAAGTTGTGCTACATGTTGAAGGGATTGTGGGCAACAGAAAGAAGACACCAGGAGAAGACAGAATGTCACATGAAGTCTTCGTAGTCTTGTACATAGCCTCCGTCATATCCACCATAGTCTGCAAGGTCATCTTTCATAGTGGCCTTTAATCCCCCTCCAGGAACCACACCTTTCTTCTTCTTTTTGGCTTTGTTTTGCTAAAAATGAAGGAAGAGTTAAAATTCATGAACCTATATGCTATGGACATTTCACCTGTCACAGCAAACACTTGAGATGTTAAAGCTACAGTATTTTGGTGGTTTTGGTGGTGGTGGTGGTTTTTCGAGACACGGTTTCTCTGTAGCTTTGGAGCCTGTCCTGGAACTAGCTCTGTAGACCAGGCTGGTCTCAAACTCAGAGATCCACCTGCCTCTGCCTCCCGAGTGCTGGGATTAAAGGTGTGCGCCACCACCCAGCTAGGCTACAGCAAGTCTTATTGTCTCAGAAAAGAATACAAATATTTCTATGAATGGAGACAACAGGCACCACACTGCTATTCTGTCCTAACTTAAAATTTCAATAAGCTCTTTTCCGTGTTGAGGGAACTCGGCCCACAGCCCCACCCTAACACAAGGCATTTCTCTGTACAGCTTGCTCTTACCTTTTCTTGCTTCTGTTTTTCACTGCAAAGCACAGTCAATGAATTGGTAATCTTTTTCAAGTCATCAATTTCCACTTTAAAAAAGAGAGAGGCATATTACTAAACTTCAATTTTTAAGCACTTTAAAAAATAAAATCAAAATAGATATCCTTAGAAAGTCATTTGTATGTAACCTAGGTAGCTTTATTATAAAACTATGAATTTCTTCTTCATAAATAAAGAAGTAAGTAACTGTTCAGTCTATAGCTAGACTCGGTGATAGCACACTAAAGTATAATGGTCAACTCAATGGACCCCCAAATACTCTAACTGGAGAACATTCCAAAAATATCTGCTAAAAAGGAAATACCAAAATTCTATATTATATAGCATTAAAGCTTATATTTTTAAAAAAAACTTTCCCAAGTATGATGTTCACAATATAATCTTAACAAAAGGGGCTAGAAATCAGCATCACTTACATGAAATACAGACATCTCGAACTAAGGCTTCCAAAAAGCTGGCATAATATAGTGATTTTTCATATTGTGTAATTTTATCTTTTAGTAATTTTCCAAACTCTGTGAAATCATCTCTTGAAGATGGGTTCATAGCATCTATTCCATAACCTGTATTATTAACACCTGCAGGAGAGAAGACCTGAAGTATTAGGAAGATACAAACATTTTAAGTTCATCAATGGGGACTAGAGAAATGGCTCACAGGGTAAGAGCTTCCCGTGTAAAGAACTGACGACACAAAACTGTCTTCTGACCTCCACATGCTCCTCCCCGTAACAAAAACTTTAAAGTTCATAAACCAAGCTGCTATCTAAACAATCAGTTTTACTCTAAAGCAGGACTTTATAAAAACATGCGCCACCATGACCTGCATGTGGACATCAAAGGATAACTTTCACTCCTTCCACCAATGAGGGTCCTGGGGAATCAAACTCAGGTTAGCAGGCTTATTAGCCACTGAGCCACCACTCCTGCCCTAGGAAGCTTTTTAAACTACTGAACTTTTTAACCTGGGTCAGTGGGAGTTCTTGGACAGAATTCAGAAGGGTGCCTTTGAAATTCAAATTAAAAAAAAAATTATTTTATCTTGAATTTTACTGACCTCCAATTTAGCATTTTCTTCCATTTTTATTTTAGGCAACAATCATATTTAACAACAAACCCCATCACTGTCTGCTTACAATACTGTCAACTACTACCAATAAAAAAAATAAAATATGAAGTTGAGTAGTTACAAACATTTATAATCCCAGCATTTGGGAAGATGAAGAATTCAAGGCTGGCCTGGCAAGAACCTGTCTGAAAAAAGAAAACCACCAACCAATAAAATAAATAAATATGGGCTGAGAATTTAGCTTACTCAGATAGTGCTTGCCTAACATGTATGAAGCCCTGAGTTCAATCCCCTGCACTAAAAACTAAAAACCTTGAATTCTGTGTGAGTCATGGATTTGTTTTGGGGTTTGATTCCTGTTCCAACTGAAGTATTAGAAACACCTTTAATCCCAGCATTCAGGAAGCAGAGGCAAATTTCTCTGTGAGTTCCAAGCCAACCTGGTCTATATAGTAAGTTCTACACCAGCCAGAGCTACAAAGACCCTGTCGCAAAAACAAAAGCTGTAACTAGAAAAAGAATCTAAAGAAAGATGCTCTCAAAAGATCTGTCCAAGAAAGACAAAAGGGATGGGGGGCACCAAGTGTGACCACCTACATTCAATCAATCCCCTGAACCCCCATGGCAGCAACTCTACAAGCTGTCCTCTGGCTTCCACAAGCATTCTTGGGTACACAAACCCAATAAATGTAAAAACAAAGAAAACTTTTTACAAAGATGGGAAAGGATAAGGAGACAGATATGGTAAAAATAATTAGCTAACTCCAAAAATTAAACAGAAGTAACCATGTGTTAAAACCTGAGAGAAAAAATAATTTAGCCTAAAATTCTAGGCTAAAAGTATGTATGCTGCTTAACATACCTTTTTCAATGTCAAATAATGATCTAGCAAAACCACAAATTCAATTCCTATTAACCAAATAGTGACTGTTAGCTCATTTTTCACTTCTTAATTTTTAACTGGTACCCCCATGAGATTTTCTGCACTGAGCATACACACATGGGCTGTCTTGAAGAGAGGAACACGCACAGTTACAGCCAACATTGCTAGAAACCCATTGAGGGTATGGACACACTTTCCTAAAGGGAAACAAGCAAGCCTCTTTGTTCTAGAGAAGGGGCTGGTGAATTTTTTCACACCAGGTAATGACAAACTTGACAAATGAAGTAGTCTGTATTTCTCTATTTCTTTTAACTCTTCCTTAGGTATGCTGGCTAGTTCTATGTCAACATGACAAACTAGAGTCCTCTGAGAAGCGGGAACCTCAACTGAGAAAATGTCCCCACCAGATTGGCCTGCAGTACATTTCTTGATTTTTGATTCATGTGGGACAGCCCAGCTCACTGTGGGCGATGCCACCCCTGGGCAGGTGGTCCTGGGAACTGTAAGTAGCAGACTGAACAAGCTCTAAGGAACAAGCTAGTAAGCAGCAATCCTCCATGGCTTTTGCTTCAGTTCCTGCCCTGACTTCCCTGATGATAGACTATATAAGCTGTAAGATAAATGATGGTCCTGAAAGGTAGGGCATTATGAAGGTCAAAAAAAGAAGGAAGGAAGGAAGGAAGGAAGGAAGGAAGGAAGGAAGGAAGGAAGGAAGGAAGGAAGGAAGGAAGGAAGGACGGACGGACGGAAGGAAGACTGAACACAAGGCAATGCCAAAACTGAATATTCTACATGGACCAATCTGCTCTGTCCAAGTCCTATCTAGACTTATGGCAACAGGATGTCCCCAAAGACAGTTGGATACTTCAATTTCAAAGCCATAGACAGCAGAATCTATCCAGTTCATAAGTTTAGGCAACAGTACACTTTACTGGTCTACTGGCATCTTTTGGAGGGCCTTGGAAGGCAGTCTTGCTATATAGCCCTAGTTAACCACCACTTCTAACCCTTCTGTCTCAGCCTTCCAAGTGTTAGGAATATGGGCATGTGTTACAAATGATGTTTTATATATATATGATGCTCTAAAGTATTACTCAAAAAATTTGAAAATAGGTCTATACTTTGTCAAATAATCTTAAATATATAAAGAGCTTAAAACGGTGTTCTAATCTCAACTGGAATGTGTGTGTCCTTTAAAAATATGGTTTTTGATCCCTCACAGGTAAGGTAGTAAGACTGGCAGAATTTTTCAACATCGCACCCACCATCTTACCAAAAGTTTCTTTTGCTAATTCAAGGTCTGACTCTTCCTGTAGCTTCTTTAGCCGAAGTTTATCTGCTAATTGTTCTTCAGGTGTTAGCACTTTAGGTTCTTCAGACTCTTCTAACTAAAATGAAACACAAGTTTCACTTATAAAAGATAAGTTTATAGTGAACAGAGTATATTTTTATATTGTATGAATTTTATGTCATCAGCACTTACACAAAGAAGCAAGCACATACTTGTAATCATACAAATGATTACTGTATTTTGGCATTCTTCCAAACACTTTAAAGGATATTCATATCTCAATTATATAATTAAATAAAGCATGTAGACACAGAGAGGTAAAACAACTTGCACACAATAGTAGGGGTAATATTTGAACCCAGGAAGGTAGAGGCTATTTAGCTCCCCATCCACTGTTAAAACTGAGTAGATGAAATTATAGGTAAGATGAAATGGCACTCTTCACATGCTGCCACAACAAACATTGAGCAACCTTTCTAGAATATGGAGACCTCTATCAGGCATCTTAAAATATTTCTACATGCTTTCATCAATTCTATAATATTTGTGTTAAGAAACCTGAGATGAGGGCTGGGGGCTGAAGAGATGGCTCAGTGGTTAAGAGCGCCAGCTGCTCTTCATAAGACAGGGGTTCAAATCCCAGCACCCCCATGGTAACTTAAAAAAAAATCTAGTTCCAGGAGATACAAGGCCCTCTTTTTTTTTTTTAAAGGGAGGAGGCACTGAGATGGCTCAGCGGCAAAGATTACCACTGGCTGTTCTTCTAGAAAACCAAGTGTTCTTCCCAGCACCCACGCGGGGGTTCACAACGACCTACAACTCTAATTCGAGGGAATCCAAAGCTTTCTTCTGGCCTCCAAGGGAACCAGGCACTCAAGTGGTAGATAAGACAGGCAAGCATGCAGGCTAAACACCCATACACATAAAATGGGATGGGAGGAGGGGGAGAAACCTGAGCTGCACACAAAGATATCCATTGGAATACTATTTATAATTGCAAGTAAATTTAGTGACATCCTAAATGTTCAACTACAGAATGTTTAACACACTGTTCCTCTGACAATGTAGACATTAAAGATGTTTTCAAAGCATCAGAAAAGGTTTTATTTTAGAGTCACAAATGTAATCAAAATACCAACATGACACCCCAGTAATGTAAAGCTCTCACTTATTTCCCCCAGCCCTCTGAAGGGGTAGATAGCAACTGGTGTTACTGGGGAAAAGAGAAGCACCTGCATGTTCCCGCCTATGCAAGTTTTCATGTTGAAAACACATTTCCTTGTTCATGAAGTGGAAATGTAAAGAAGTTAAAAAAGAAAGATGGAATATTTCCAAGTGTCTTTAGACCTAGACAAAGATCAAAACTGAAAATATCTCAATGTCAGGCTTAAGACAAACTAAGGACACTGAAGTTAAGGTCTCCTCAAGTTGGAGACTAATATAAAAGCCCGAAAACCTGGCCAGGTGGTGGTGGTGCGTGTGTTTAATCCCAGCTCTTGGGAGTTCTAGGCCAGCCTGGTCTACAGAGTTCTAGGATAAACAGGGCTGTTACACAAAGAAACCCTGTCTCCGAAAACAAAACAAAAGCCTAAACTCCACTTAAGAGCTTTAAATTTTATTCTTTAGTATGTTATAGTGGGGTTTTTTTTTTGAGTTTTTTGATTTCTATATTTTTTTGACATAGCCTCATACAGTAAGGGAGGGATAAGAGTACGGGTATATGCCACCATGCACAGCTCTTACCATGTTTGCTTCTTTATTGAGACATGATCTCTATCTGTACCCCAGGCTATTCTATCCTCAAATCTGTAACTCTCTCAGTGGGATTATAGGCATGCAGAACCACAACCTGCTTGAAACTTCAATGTTTTTATCCTTATCTAGTTATTCATTCGTGTGTGTGCACCACACATGACGGTGGTGGTGGTGTGAACAAGCCTCCCCTACCCCCACCCCCGAACTGGCCTCAAACTCACTATGTAACTTCAGACGACTCAAACTTCTTATCCTCCTGCTTCCATCTCCCAAGCATGTAGTGCCACACTGTTTTATGAAGTGTGAAGGATTGAACACAGGGTTTTGTAGATGGTTCTATACCCATCTACACAGTGGCAGCACTAAGTAGACTCTTTAATTTTTAAAAACAGCACATGAAGTTGGGAAGAAGAGTAATGGGGAAGACAGGAGAGGAGGAAATAGGGGTTTGAGCTAAATACATTATATACAAGTATAAAAGTCTCAAATAATAAACTACTGTACTTGAGTAAAACACAAGTTACAAAAACCTTATAACAAGTTTATATGAAAACAAAGAATTGTGTTTTTGGCAGAGTCAGACATGGTGGCTCACACCTTTAATACCAGCACTTGGAGGCAGAGGCAGGTGGATCTGAATTTGAGGCCAGTCTGGTCTACAGAGCAAATCCCAGGAAAGATAAGAGTTACACAGAGACACTGTCTCCCCGCACAATACCACCCCCCAAATAAAGCAGACTGACCATAGCACCTTTCACATAAGCAAGCACTCTATCAATGAGCTGCATCTCATAGATGTAGACCTCATGCTACATTTCTTTCACTGGTAAAAAACAAGCTATACAGACATAGCTAAAAATATAGTTTTCTAAAGTATCAGGGATATTGCATAAATACAACCTGATACGAAAAAAATCCCCTTTTCAGAGGTTTAAAGGTACAATGCATATTAGTTATATTAAACAAAACAAAAATAGCTGAAACAAATTTGGGGACATATTAACAATATTAGGTGATATGTGCTATTTGTTGTTTTTGAGACAGTCTCACACTGTGTAGTCCTGGATGACCTAGAACTTGCTATATAGACCAGGCTAGCATACAATTTTTAGCAATCCTCCTCTTTCTGCCTCCTACATGCCAGGATTATGGGTATGGATACTACCAACATTTGGTTTTATGGGACTGGGCCTTACAATACAACTCAGGCTAGTCTTGAACTTACAGTAATGTAATTCACACTTATAGAGTGAATACTCCTGGGATTTCAGGAGTATACCACCATGCCTGATTATTTTCCTACTTTCATATTTGATCTTTTTTAAACAAAAAGTAAAGAAGTCAAGGAGGTGGTGGTGCAGCCTTTAATTCCACTCAGGAAGCAGAGGCATTCAAACAGATTTCTAAGTTCAAGGCCAGCCTGGTCTACAAAGTAAGTTCCAGGACAGCAAAAGCTACACAGAGAAACCCTGTCTCAAAAAAACAGAACAAAACAACAACAACAAAAAGTAAAGTATTAGAGGTATTTCCATGTTATGTATGGGAAGATTTCTACAGTAAAGTAAATAAAAATGAAGTGGAAACTACGGAAGAAAGGACAGCCAGTTAGTGGTGCATATCTATAATCTCAGTACTTGGGAAGTGGAGGCAGGAGGAAATCAAGTTCAAGGTCAGTCTAGGTTATACAACTAGAGTCTGTCTCAAAGAGAACTAGGGATACTACACACAGAAATATAAAGGTCTGATAGAAAGATAAGGAACAAGTGTTTACATGAGGGACAGTGGGAAAAGTCAGAATAAGTAAGGGGTTAGAAGTGTTTTATAATAGTTTGAATTATGAAATGTTTCCTATTAAAAAGAAAATTAATAAATACAACAATATTTCTGTGTCCTGCTACAAATAATCGAGAATAAAACCACTTTAGGACATGATAAAGGTTTGCTCAGTGTATTCTCTGTGTATACTGTGACTAGGAATAGCTGCGGGTGGGCTGGGCATACAGCTCAGTGGCAGAGGGATCACTTACATGCATGAGGCCCTGAATTCAATCCCAGCACTGAAAGAAAAAAAAAAGGCAAAACTGCAGGTGCTAGCAAAAAACATTAAATGTGGTCACTGCACAATCTAACTGTTATGATGAAACTGAAAATATTTTCAGGTGTAAGATTTCTGGGTTGGATTTTTGCAAAAACCACAAATCCCTTTGCTCTGGGATGTACCTATCTTATGGTATATCCATTTTGTCTTTATAGAGCCCTTCAAGTTGCGAGGTAATATTTGCAGCCAGTTAAGACGCTGTACCACAACTGACACATTATGAATTCTGTATGCATTTTATGGAAACTGACAGAACTTACCCTCTTTCTAATTTCTTCTTGCCTTTTCTTCTGCTGCCGTTCTTTCTCTTTTATCTTTTCTGCTATTTTTTTCTTTTCTGAAATTTTTACTTCTGAAAGAAATATTTTATTTACAATTATATTGAATACTTTCTAGTCTGTGGCTTAGGCAGATATGACTCTTGAACACCTGAAGAGACAAAACCTCCCTAGCTTTCAGAGTCTTATGGTGATGTCTGGAAACGATAAAAGTTCCAGTACTCTTCCTTTTCCTTTCAAATCTTATCCCCAAAGATCCAAATAAGATTATTCAAATAACACCATTTCCTCTACTCTTTTCTCCTACCTAGATGACTCAGCAATCAAACAGAAAACCAGTAGGTACTTAATCTGTTGTACAGAAGTACAAGAAAAGGAAAATATACAGAGAGATTTGGTTTAAAACAACAAAGCATCAGTGGCTCACCTGGTTTTACTTCTGCTTCCTCTTTATTTTCATCATCATCATCATCCCAGTTATCCTGAAGACAAGAACCTCCATTAGTAATTCTTACACATTTTCTTTCCCACAAGATTTCTACGTTTGTAGGGTGGTGGTGGCGCACGCCTTTAATCCCAGCACTTGGGAGGCAGAGGCAGGCGGATCTCTGTGAGTTCGAGGCCAGCCTGATCTACAAGAGCTAGTTCCAGAATAGGCTCCAAAACTACAGAGAAACCCTGTCTTGGGGGCCAGGATCTCTATGGTTAACTCTGCACAAACAAGTTTGTTGGTAATTTTTTGGTATTATAGCCTTTGTAACAGTAAGGCCCTTAGCCAAGGGTTATCTTCCCATTTTTTTTCAAGACTACTTCTGTATCTCAGAAGTATAAGAAGTTTTATAGGGTCTGTTCCTAGTATTCTGTAAATTCCTGTAAATTCTGTTGCTTTTTAAGTATGTTTCCCTTCCTCCCATAATGCCCTATAATTAGTTATTCATGTAGCAAAGGTTACTGGGCTCTGAACATTAGTATGAAGGACAGAGTACAGTATAGTCTAGTCTGGCCTTGAACTTCCTGGTCTTTCTGCCTCCACTTCCCAAGTGGTTGAAATACAGATCACCACACCCAGTCTTTGAACAATAATTTCATCACTTAAGATTTATTATCAATTCCTTACTTATAATTCTCTAATTCAAAAATTTGCAATGTTTCGGAATTCAAAACATTCTTTAGGATCAACATGTTGGCACAAGAATATTCCATACTTGGGGTGGGGGGGTACTTTAATGCCTTTAATGCCAGCATTTGGGAGGCAGAGGCAGGCGGATCTCAGTGAGTTGAGGCCAGCCTGATCTACAGAGTGAGTTCCAGGACAGCTAGGGCTGTCTCGAAGGAAAAAAAATATTCCATACTTACAACAAATGGACCTAGTACCACAAGCCTGAATATAATTCCAGCTACTTGAAAGGTAAATCAAAGTTTAAGGCCTGCCTCTACAAAGTGAGTAATCCTGTTTCAAAATTAAGTATAAAGAAAGAGAGAAAGAGAGAGAGAGAGAGAGAGAGAGAGAGAGAGAGAGAGAGAAACAAGCAAGCAAGCAAGCAAGCAAGCAAGCGAAATTATATAATAAATTGCTTGCTTGGCATGCACAAGACCCTAAGTTAAATCCCCAGTACTACCAAGAAATAAAAATGACAACAGAAAATTCCACATCTGATCCATTGATAGATCTTTAGTCAAACAGAATGCTTAAAATAGTGTATAAAATTACCTTCCAGCTATGGGTATAAGGTATATTTAAAACAAAAGAATTTCATGTTTACTTGGGTCCCATACCATTACATATACATATATAAACCTCAAAATCTGAAGTGAAAAAAAGCCCCTAAATGGAAATATTTTTGCCCCAAGTGTTCTAGATAAGGATATACTATACAACCAGTACACATCACCTAAAAACAACAGAAAGGGCACACTACTTCTTGACTTTTGAGACAGGGTTTCACTATATATTCCATGCAGGCCTCCAACTCGGCGATCTCCCCACCTCTGCCTCCAAGTGATGAGATCGAAGACATGAAGCAGGCCCTCCACACCAGCCTGACAAATTAATTCTTCTAATTGTACTTGCTAATCTCCAGTACACTAGTGAGCAGAACAGAGATAATAGGCACCCTTATCTGTTCCTCTCTTAATGAAATTGTCCCCCAAATACAGTAAAATCTGAGTCATTGGCTTTTGCTTCCTCTAGATTTGCATTAAGTAAAAAAAAGAAAAAAAATCTCACACCAAAGAATTCACCATGTTTTCTTCTAGAATGTATATCGTTTCATTGTTTTTTTACTTAGACCCCTGATCTATCTATAGTAAAAACCACAGACCTTGTCATATAGACTTGGCTAGCCTAAAGCTTGCAGTGACCCTGATCTATCTCCTTCCTGAGTGCAGAGGTTAAAGTGGAACTAATGCCCATTTAGTACCTCACTGCTTTCATTACAGAAATTTTATGGTATGTTTAATGTCTGCATACATAAAATAATGTGTGTTTAATGTCATTCCCAATTTTAGAATTTTTTAAAAAGATTTATTTATTCATTACATATACAATGTTCTGCCTGCATGTATACCTGAAGGCCAGAAGAGGGCACCAGATCTCATTACAGATGGTTGTGAGCCAGCCCACTGTTAGGATTTTTAATGTTTTTACTGTTATGTTTGTTTTTCCATAAGTCTTTATATCCACTTATCTAATGCCATAAAAAGCTTACCAATTAAAAATACAAGATAACCAAGTTCAAATTTATAAGCCTTAAGTAAGTTGCTGTCTTATTTTTAATTTGACAAACTCTACCTATATAGCCCAAAATGGCCTTCCCTTACTGCATTCTGAGATTACATACGTGTGTGTACTGCCCATTGCTTTTCAGTTGTTTCGTTCATCAGATGGACCAAGTATGCTGCTCTCTAGTCAATGGGTTGTTTCAAGCGGTATTGCTTACAACACAATCATAGTCAATGAATCAAATTACACAGTATTTTTAGGCACAGTATTAGAGATGAATGAAGAACTAATTAACCCTTTATGGCTCTGCCTCCTTAAGCCAGGCAAGGCACTCTGAAGTAGACCTATAATCTTTTTTCTATGCTTAACTCTATACTGAGCTACATATAAACCTAATGTCAAACAATTTTCTGAAGACACTATAGAATTTACAAGATTCCAGTTTAGCAGGGATGGAGACAGCCCTCAATTTAAATTCTGCTTTAATTTATAGGTAGAACACAGTCTCAGCAACCACCAGGCACAGTATGACATGTCATTTAAAGATGAGACATCAGAGAGAAGATGCAAAGCAGGAAGCCCTAATGCTATTAGAAGAGGCAATGGCTGACTAACACCACAGCTATGACAAACACAAGCGTCTAGTTTTATAGTATTACAGACCACAGGTCTAAATCAATGCAGGTATATATACTAAACCTCAATAAAAAAACAAGTTTGTACATCCAGCAAAGAAATTTAAAAAAATCTATCCTCCTAATTGGAATAATATATGCAAGTAAGTATGTGTATGTATACGTTTCTAAAACATTCTATTTTCTATGTTTGGGTGTTCAGCCTTCACGTATGCCTATGTATGCCTATGCCATCTCTCAAGCCCTCATATTAATTTTCTTAAGAGAGCACACAGAACTATCAAAGAAGGCTCAGTAGCTTTCCACAGGAGTTTTTTAAATTTTGGCTCTTTAGCTACGAAATTAGCAAGTCCTGAAAATTTAACATAGGGTATAGAATACCTACCACAATTGCTATCTATCCTGTAAACACAAGAACTCTGTAAACACTGGCAAGTTTTCAGATAAAATGACAAAAGTGTTGCAAGACACTTAAAATAGACAGTAAGCGTATCTATCACTTCAAAATAAAAAAGACCTAAGTGTTATTTGGTTCAAGATACAATCTATTAATATCCTATTAAAAATACCTTTCCCAGAAACTGGAATATATCTCAACAGAGACAACATTCGCACAACATGCATGAGGTCCTGGATTCAATCTCCATTATTGACACAAACAACAGAAACTCCAGAAATCTGATCCAGGTATCCTGGTGGCTCATGCCTGTAATTTTGGCAGTTGGAGAGTGGAGACAGGAGGATCAGGAGTTCATGGCCATCCTCTGTTACAAGTGGAGTTCTAAGCCAGCCAGGACCATACAACTATAACAAAAACATTAACTGCCTTCCTATAACGGCCAGCTTTAGAAGAGAGACTGTTTATATTTCTTTATGCTTAATATCATTCGAATTGAATCATTTGTCTGAAAGAGATGGCTGCTTTTCAAGTTCAAAATCTTTTTTTCAAGACACGGTTTCTGGGAGGGAGGGAGGCACATGCCTTTAATCACTGCACTCGGAAGGCAGAGGCAGGCAGATCTCTGTGAGTGCGAGGCCAGCCTGGGCTACAAGAGCTAGTTCCAGGACAGGCTCTAAAGCTACAGAGAAACCCTGTCTCGAAAAATCAAAAAAACTCTCGAAAAATCAATCAAACAAACAAACAAAAAGACAGGGTTTCTCTGTGTAACAGCCCTGAACTGTCCTGGAACTCTGTAGATCAGGCTGGCCTTAGAATTACAGAGATCTGCCTGCCTCCCAAGTGCTAGATTAAAGGCATACAGCTGCCCCTCAAAATCTTTTTTCTAACCAAACACAACCAAGTATTAAAATCAAAACAAATACTTTATATGTATGTATGTATACATGTGCACATATTATATATATGCACTTAAATTTATAATAAAGTACCTAGTAGTTGGCTGGTTCTGCCATTTTTACAATACCGAAATATTGAGTGTCATATCCAGTGAGAGAATATATTCAAGTCTGAAAATGCTTTCCAGCTGAAGGAAGATATATTTATAGATTGTTAAACAGGAATAGCTTCAAAAGAACAGTAAAACGGCTTTTGCCTCATAGCAATATCTCAGGAGCAAACATATACTTCTCTCCTTTTTTCCTTAAATAATTTAGTTTAGATACAGCAAAACTTCCTGATGCATATTTCTTTTAAAGGTCGAGTAGCCCAGAGTAACTTCACACTCCCTATGAGTAGATGACTTTGAACTTCTTACCCTTGCTGAGATTATAGGAAGGCACCACAATCATGTTTATGTAATGCTGGAAATGGAATCCAGAGCTTCATGTATCCTAGGCAAGCACTCTATCACCTGAACTATATCCCCAGCACACAAAATATATCATAATTCCTTTATGGAAAAACAACTTCTTAGTACTCTGTAAATTATATGTGGTTTCTGCTCTAAACAGCCTCAGAACTGATAGGGATAGACTTCTCATAAAAACTCAGTTTATGGAAGAAAGTTAAATAAATGTTCTATCATCTTTCTTAAGTCAAAGTAATTGTTTCATAAATTCTACTCCATGTAATCCAATTCATTAAGTTTGGTTCAGCACTCTGTTGTGCTCTAGCTCAATGCCTACCTGTCTTATATTCAGAGTGATTATTAACAAACTCTACATTCTTGGCTGAGCAGTATCACAATCAAAAAACTAAACACTGAGTCGGACAGTGGTAGCACACATCTTTAATCCCAGCACTTGGGAGGCAGAGACAGATAGATCTCTGTGAGTTCGAGGCCAGCCTAGTCTACAAAGTGAGTTCCAGGACAGCCAGGGCTGTTACATACAGAAACCCTGTCTCAAAAAAACAAAACAACAACAAAAAATACTTGTTGAAATAACTGACTCCAGGGCTGGAGAGATGGCTCAGAGGTTAAGAGCACTGACTACCCTTCCAGAGGTCCTGAGTTCAGTACCCAGCAACCACATGGTGGCTCACAACCATCTGTAACAAGATCTGGTACCCTCTTCTGACCTGCAGGCATACATGGAGGCTGAACACTGTGTACATAATAAATAAATAAATCTAAAAAAAAAAAGAAATAACTGACTCCAAAGTTATCTTCTGATTGCCACGTGTACAATGTGGCACATGCACCCACACAAAAAAAGGAAAAAAAAAATTAAAGTATGTTTTAGGATTGAAAAAGAAGTCCAATGATAGCATATTATGTGTAAGCACTTGGGTTTGCTCTCCAGTAACTGCAAAACAACAACAACAACAACAGTTATAATAAGCTAAGTAAAACCGTGCTATTTTACAAAAATTATAATACCAAAATGATTAGGATTTTCTTAACAGTCATCTGTTTGAAGGTCAGACATAGTGGCTCCTTCACACTATAATCTCAGCACTTGGGAGGCTAAAGCAGAACTGACAGGGGTTGTAAGGACAGCCTTGGCCATAAAAGGCAGGCTGTCTCAGTGGGGAAAAAAAGTGATGGTCACTCTCTTCATTCAGCTGAGGATTGGGAAACAGTGAAGAACTTATTAAACTACATCTGTTTATTTGTAATTTCCTGTAAAATTTAGAAAAATAATCTCTTCAAGATACGAATTTTCAGCAAAGCATGGTGGCAACCACTTGTAATTTCAGTACTCAGAAGGCCGAGGCTGGAGAACCTTAAAAATTCAAGCCTAGCCTCATCTATATAACTCGATTGCCTCTCCCACCTCCCAAATAAAACAGGGTTGGGGATATAGTCCTGTTGGTAGAGTCAGGACATTCTGAGTTTGATCACTGGAACTGCATAAGTCAGGCCTCATAGCACACACTTGTAATCCCAGCACTTGGGAAGCCCAAACCAAGAGATCAGAGTCCAAGGCTATCCTTAGGTACACAGTGAATCTGACACAATCCTCGGCTTTAGGAGACACCAATTTAAAGAAAACAAAAAGATACCTATTTATGCAAAATGGTCACCTTCTGAGTAATCAGAGGGTGTTTTCTCTAAAACACAGATCTTCATGAGACATGCATATATAATCAAAGAACTTGGATGGCTGAAGCAGGAGGATCCAAATTGGAGATCCTGTCTCAAAATTAAAATATACAAACACACTAAAATAAAATATAAATCCTGTTCTTCAGAATACTTGAAAAATGCCCTTACTCTGGAAATTTTAAACTTATTACTTTGGATAGATCCTTAAAGAAAATGAGTAGGACATGACTGCTTAATGCTCAGTTTTACCTGGGTCAATTCTCTGAGATTATGTGTAATAAATCAATTTAGCTAGAGAAAGAACTGGCTGAGGGCTGAAGATGTAACTCAGTTGTTGGCTCTCCCTGGACTCTATCCCCAAGTCAGCATCAACTGGGGTAGTTGTACAAGCCTGCAATCCTAGCACTCAGGATGTAAAGCAAGGGGATCAGGATTCCAGGTCACAGAATTCAACTGGCTACACAAGGGCTGAGGCCAGGCTGGGGCCACATGAGATCCTGACTAAAAAAACTAAACATACACGGATAAAAACAAAACAAATGCCTGAGAGAGTTGAACACAGTCAGAAGCTTCCCCTAAAAATCTGTGTACCTTTTGAATAAGCCTAATTTGTAACTTGTTTAATGGGAATGCAGGCAATCCAGTAAAATGGTTTTAAAGCTGCCTTGTCGCTGCTTCCATCAAGTCTAAATCCTGTGTCTACATCCTGCACGTCATTCCAGTCATATACACAAACTAAAACATTCTTTCCAGACCTCTGTGTATCAGGATAGTAAGAAAGGTCCAAGTAAATAATGCCAGAAATGTTATGTTCCACTTAATTACATACATACATACATACATAGATGTGTCTCTGCCTGCCTGTCTATGAGTGTGTATGTACATGTCTACAAGAACAGACTCCAGATGCCCTGGAGCTAAAGCCACAGGGATTGTGACAGGAGCTCTAGGAATCTAACTCTGGTCCTCAGGAAGAGGCTGCTACTCTTAACCTCCACGCCATTTCTAGTCACTTCTCACCTATTTACTGGGAAAAAGTCTATCCTTTAAGAACTCTGCAACTTAAGTCCATTTTTGCCACCACAAGATAAAGCTTCTGAAAAGGGCAGTCAATCAGCGAGTAACTAAATAAACAGCATTAAACTGGCAATTTATAAAGGTCACTTTATCCTGACATAAAATGAATAATGCTTTCTAAGGTTTTGCAATAGAACTCTCACTCAACAACCAAAGTTGGTCCTAAACTCCTGGAATCAAGAGATTCTCCCTCAACTTCCCCAAAGTACTGAAACTACAGGCACTGGCCATCATGCCAAACTTGGGCATTTTATAAAAAAATTCACACACTGAATTGTTTAAGGACTACAATTATTTGATTTCATGAAAAGTAAACCTTGTTTGCATACCCCACAATAAGATTAAATGCTGAAAGCAGACAGTGGTTGTGCACGCCTTTAATTCCAGTACTTGGGAGGCAGAGGCAGGCGGATCTCAGTGAGTTTGAGGCCAGCCTGGTCTACAGAGTGAGTGCCAGGACAGGCTCCAAAAACAAACAAAAAAAATGATCTTCAAAAAAAAAAAAAAAAAACCCACAAATTTCGTAGTAAATAAATACTATAGAAAATATTTATCTTTCTGGCCTCAAGAAATGATAAAATGTAGCACAAAATAAATCTCATTTAGCAGCCTAAATAAGTTCATAGGATTAAAAAAAAAAGTAAAGATCACTGAAAACTAATATTTATTGTATACCTATCAGGTTTTAGGAGACCCTGCTCAATGCTCATTTAAAATACATATTCTCATGGTGGTGCACTCTTTTGATCTCAGCACTTAGGAAGCAGAGCTAGGCAGATTTCTATGAGGTTCAACACTAGCCTGATCTACACAGTAAGTTCTAGGCCATACAGGGCTACCCAGTGAGGCCCTATCTCAAAACAAAACAAGCAAAAATAACAAACTATGTAATGCAGGTCTCATTAGGACATATTGAGAAAGCATAACTTGCTTATGGCCACAAATCTAGAAAATGCCATGGTAACATTATAATCAGTGTAATTCTAAAAGCCAGGAGTAAATAAATAAATAAATAAATATAAATAAATAAATAAATAAATAAATAGAGAGCCAGGAGTCAAACTATTATACTGTACCATGAGATTGGAAATAAGCATTTCAACACCTTACTTTAAGACTCTAAAATTTAGCTCTAAGACTTAGACATTATGATTCACAACAGTAACAAAATTACAGTTATGAAATAGCAACAAAAATAATGTTATGATTAGGGATCACCACACATGAGGACATGTTAAAGGGTCACAGAATTAGGAAGGTTAAGAAACAATGTGAGTGATGAGAATTATTAACATCAGGCTCAACACCATTTAGATGCCATAATCCCAGACAGATACTACATGGCATCATAACAGACAAATTTAAACAACTTTCTGGAACTTATTCCCAATTCCTCTCATTTCCCCAGCCCCCGTTTTGTTTTGAATTCACTCCCATTCCTTTTACTAACTTCTTTATCTTTATGTCTTAACTTCCACTTCCTAGAAAAAGTGAAAAACCAAAACTGAAAATCTGCTGTTGTGTGGTAACAGAAGGTTGGTAACAAATTATCCCCAAGTGCAATGCACACAACAGATAAACAAGCGTGGAAGTAGCTACTCAATAAAACTATTAGTCATTATTAACTTCAATGTATGCAGACCTCACCTCGTTCCTCAAACTCAGGCTGTCTGGCAAAGTGGACACACACTCAACAAACGTCAGAGACAGGACATAAAAACCCAAGCACTACTATTAAATTCACAGTGACTACCGAGCTCAAAATTCTGAACACCAGCAGGATTTACAAGGTACTAGATTAATCAAAGGAAGAAAAAGCGTTTTCTAGTCCATACAAAACTTTATCTCCACAAATACAGGAAGACTTTGAAAACTTCACTAGTGGCCAGGCGATGCTGGCACATGCCTTTAATTCCAGCACTAGGAAGGAAGAGGCAGGCGATCTCTGTGTGTTTCGAGGCCAGCCTGGTCTATAAGAGCGAGTTCCAGGAGAGCCAGAAAAACCTGTCTTGAAAAAAAACAAAAAAACAAAAAGAGAAAGGAAAAAGAAAACTTCACTAGTATACAGTTATGGAGCTGAGACTTTTCTAACTTTTTTTTTTAATGAACACAGAAGATAATGACATCTAAAGCTGTAGGATGTGCCCGTGGGAGTTTTCACAAACAATGAAGGTTAACAAGATTCGAACTTACAAGACAAAGAAAAACAAAACCACTGGCCCCTGGCCTGCTTCAACCACCGAATCTTGGGTGTTTTTCAAGGCCTGTCCCTATGTGGATGAATTACTGTTACCTTTCCCTTTTCCACAGTGCCCAGTTCTGGCCTAGGTTTCTGTCCACTAACCTGCTGGTTAACTCGGCGCTCAGGTCATCCTTCTTACCGCAGGGTGGGGGAAGGGAGAGCTAAAAGTTGTTTTACTGTTCCAATTCTAGTTTAGGAAAAACCAAGCTCTTTTCTGCATCCAACCGCTGTAACGAGCCACCGACCCTAAGGAGCCTATCTAAGTTACTGACACCCGGGAGCCTCGAACTGGGCAAGGCAGGCGGCTCTCCCTACTTTCCATATGGGACAAACACTGCAACCGAGTTTCCAATCTGCTAGGCTCGTTCCGGTGAGAGGTTCTGGACTGCAAAGCTTGCACGTGGGCCGATCCGACTGCTGCTGTCACTTCTCGTCGCCAGTTAGGATCTAGGCCGGGGAGCGGACCCCCGGTGAAGGGCTGGGACTCCGGGCTGCCGCCACCTTCGGCAGAGTTCGGACGGACACGCCGCCGCCCGCTGCCCACATGGCCGGCCGGCCGAGGGAACCAGGGCTCGGCTGGGCCGACGCTCACGCGGGACCCACGGCCCGCAGGCCCGG